ATGAATTGATTCCTCTGACAACAGAAGGGACCATTTCACCCAGTATAACAAAACGTGCTTCTGAACAGGATTGCCTACCCTACCTTTAAGGATTGACCTGTCTGTGACTTTAAAAGTGAATCTTGTCAATTCGCAATGATTCAAATTCAGTTTCTACTGGCACAAATATCATCCCATAGCTGTCGGTCAACTTAAAATATAGCTTGTATCCTCACATCTTCTCATGTATTGTTTCATATTATTTTTATTTTTGTATTTAACTGATTTAACAGTAGGACTTCAATATGGCTAGCAGCCATAGCACAAAGACTTTAATTGTCTGTTGAGATAAAAATAAATATTGAAATAATGTACAAACTTGAGAAAAAGAGAGGGTCAGCTCACTGCAATTTGAATTAAATCAATTCCTCAAAGTGATAGAATCCAGACAAACCCACTTAGTGCTCTGCCCTCAGTTGGCTATCTCTCCACAAAGAAGTGGATGTAGATGGGAGAGTAACAGAGTGGACTAATGGCCTGTCTCTCTGCTTGCAGATCATCCGTCTGATCAATGTGTTCACGCCTCAGAAGTCCCTGGAGGAATTCCAGGACCTGTGAGTGACAGTGGGCCGTTTTTTGGCTGTAACAATTTATACTGGGATTCAGAGATTTCTTTTCTGTGTTTTTTTGACCACTTTTCCTTCCTTCCTCATCTTTTAGGTATTTGGTGATGGAGTTGATGGATGCCAGTCTATGCCAGGTGATCCACATGGACCTAGACCATGAGAGGATGTCCTACCTGCTCTACCAGATCCTGTGTGGCATCAGGCACTTGCACTCTGCTGGCATCATCCACAGGGTAACAGGACGAGGAATAATTATGTTGTGGACTAATATATTAAAGAATCATTTAAAGCAGCATTTCACTGCCCTCTCTGGTTGAAAGTCAGAAGCCTGCTCTGTTGAACCCAACAATGATGTCACAGTGTACTGGTACACCCTGGAGTACACTTCTACATCACAGCTGTAAGGCCAGGTGTTAAACCATCTGATGTCCAATTTTCAGCTGGTGTCCATTTGCTCATTAATTAGCTATTTAATAAAGTGATCAGTAGTCCTTTAGTAGTCCTACATATTTATTACCATGTGAAAAATAATATTAAAACATTTTAATATTTGGAAGAATGTCTTTAATTCTTTTAGTCCAATTGTTTAAATGCAACAGTTTTCTCCAAAATGACGGCATCTATTCTCATTTTACAGTATAGACATAAATACCTCAAGGTGGTTTTGTGTGTGCATGTTTCTCTAGATTTATATATTTCCTTTCCCCGCAGGACCTGAAGCCCAGTAACATTGTGGTGAAGTCAGATTGCACTCTAAAGATCTTGGACTTTGGCCTGGCTAGGACGGCCTGCACTAACTTTATGATGACTCCCTACGTGGTGACCAGATACTACCGCGCCCCAGAGGTCATACTGGGCATGAAGTATAAGGAGAATGGTAAGTATAACCAGGCACCAGTGTTAACAACAGTAAAGATCTTATCTCATATCTATAAAGCGTGGCCATGAGCTGAGAGGAACAGATGAAGGAATAAGACCACTTTGTCCTACAACACTCTGTCCTAGTATAATATAATATAATTTGAATAACATGACATTATATGCCAATGATATACTTTCATGTTCTTACAACAAGAAAATAATAGTTCAGGAATTATAAATGCTTAAACACAAAGGTGAAAGGCAGAAACTTATCGTTGAGCAAATTATTCACCTTTATGACCAACTGACACTGTTGATAGGGGTTTTTCCATGTCCAATGCTGCATTAAGACATGAACAGTAGCTATGGTTCACTATGGGACCTGATACAATATAACAAAGAGCCATCATTACTGGTTGATACTTACATCATACATTCATTTGAATCTTACATATATATGACAATATGCAAAAAAGATATTACAGATTGAATGCAGAGGAAAGTGTGAGGTAATTATAACATAGTTTGTCAACAGATACTTACTAAGCAGCATTTGAGTGAGCAAAGAAGCATATCACAGCTGAACAGATGGTGCAGGCTGTTAAGAATAATAAGTTAACTTGTAAAAAGACTGACTGGAGTGCACAGTCACAAGTCTTTTATTATTATTACCATTTGCTTAAAGTGTCTCAAAAACCACAAGAACATCAGCAACCAAAGTAGGCAGACAAAAACTCACCTTCAGGCTGTTTAGTGCATATATGGCGCTAGCAGCTATCTTTAATTTTGGTCATTGATGATGACAATGAATTTCCTTACCATACCACTACTCTGCTGCAGTGGACCTGTGGTCAGTTCACTGCATAATCGCTGAAATGATCTCTCACAAAATCCCCTTTCCTGGAAAGGACTGTATCCTTCCTCGTTTGACTTCTTATCAGTGTTTTTCTCTAAGTGGAGGCGCAAAACCCTCAGGGGATGTGTATGTTGTTGTTTTAAATCAGGAATAGTTTCAGTTCATTAGAACAAATCCAAGTGAGATGAAAAGAATAAGGAAGTGCCAGGACCCTTTGTAGTCTTTGGGATAATGTCCTAGCTAAAGAGGTGCCTAAAGCTGTCAGTTGGTGCTACAAATTAGCACACTTATATAACGTGTCATTTGTCTACAAGACTAAAGTTGTTCATATCTTTTCTTAGCTTAACTGCAAGGTGAGCCGTGAAACATGACACATCACAGAGGTAGGATTACAAACAGGAAGTAGCCAAATTATTATGTGGTCTGTCCTAACAAGAAAGTCCTTTTGCCCAGAGATACCTGTTTAACTACTCTGTAGAGCAGTCACAAAGAAGAGTGTAGGCTGTTCAAAGTTTAAACTTATGATTTATGCATTGTGTTTGTAAGACTTGGCCTAAAGTGGTTTGCATCATCTAGAGACGTTATCAGAGCACGGAAACCTTTCAGCTTCAGTGAAAGAGAAACAGAGAGAAGAAATGAGTTAATGGCTGTTTGCCACATATACACGCTCTAAAGCAAACAATCAACTCAGAGAGAGGGAGAAAGTGAGAGAGAGAGAGAAACTACATCCTACTCTGCTAAGCGCACACAGGGAACATGATAGAGAGCAACAGCTGCGTAAACTGATAAGCAGAGCTGCAGAGGCGAGAAGAAAGGCCTGGGAGGCTGCGTCTGGTTCCCAAGCCAGAGAGAGAAAAGAAAGCCATTCTAAAGATGAATATGATGAAAGCATCAGGCCACAGCTAGAGGATGGACTAAAATAACGAGAGCTGGTGTTCTGCATTTTACTGTTCATCATTCAAATTTAAACCTTGAAGCGTGTTCATCTGTGCAGCCTCCATATGTCATGTATATTTAGTGTGCATTATATTACGTGGTTGATGTTATGTGGTAATTATGTTATATCTTTTGTGTTTGTTTGTTTGTGTCCAGTGGACATCTGGTCAGTGGGGTGTATCATGGGAGAGATGGTAAAGGGCAGCGTCATCTTCCAGGGCACCGACCGTATCCTTCACCGCTCTCACCGTCTCCTTGCCACTTCTTCCATCTTTCACCCTCCATCTAACTTCTATTTAGCACAAAATATCTCATTCATCTTGACAATTTTTTTTTCTTATACTTCTTCTTGCGCACTTGTCTGTCAAGACATTTTCCTGTTATGCCCTTTAAACATAATCTGTTGAATAGGACCACTCAAGATTTCCAGCACAAACCAATTTAGAGAGCATGATTCATTTGTTTTTCTGCCCTCTTGATGATTATTAATCTGTGAAGTTGTTTTTCAGATCACTCTAATGCCCTTAATTGACAGAGGGAATCAAATTGAAGCGATTTAATTCATTTGCATTTATATTGGCTGTTTCTCTGTTTCTAATGGGTTTGGTCACTTCTTCACTCACCAGCTCCTTTTAGTGGCACTGTCCATTTACACCTGAGTAGCTGAGAATGGATGCAGGCCGCAGTGTGATTCTAGGATAGATTGCTTTTCATCGGGGGGATGTAATAGCCTTTTACTGCAATTGTAAGTCAGCGTGCCGGCTGAATGTGCATATCTGTATTTTTAGCCATGCTCAGCCTACCTCTTTGGTCCAGACTATAATATCTCAACATCTACTAGATGCATAGACATGCATGATTCACAGATCACGTTTTATACATTACAAACTGTGCTGATTACTGAGTTTGTGCTAATTAGCAAATGTTAGCATGTGA